AAAAAAAAAAAAAACAGCTGATCCCACTGAAAAGCTGAACCGACGTCAAAAAGCTATGGATTTCTACTCAGTGTTCGTAAACATAACTTACTTCTTCAGTTCAAATTATGTTCGCATATAAATTTGCAATTCTTCTACTGTATTCTTATCATGTTTTACAAACAAATATAAAATTTATAAAATTACAAAAAAAAATATTAAAAAAACGATTTATATAAATGAATTTTTTTTTTTTTTGTTTATTTGCATATGTGAAGACGACTGCTCCAATATCAATAATCGACAATACTCAAGCTGATTTTCAATCTTTTTATTTTTTATAATTATCCCTTATTTTCTGTTATTCAAGAAATTTTCTCCTATCATTCAAGCCAATGTATTCCTGTACCAACTTATACACGCCTTTTTTCAATCATAATTCTTATATAAGTATCAATATCCCAACCTTCTCATCGACGAGGACCAGTTGTGGTGCTGGATAGGAATGTGTACGACTTCATGGATCAAAACATTCATTTTCACCCTATCATTTTTAACATATTTTTATATTTTATACACAAATCACAATTAATATTTTTATTAACTTTATTATTACTAAGCAAAACCTTCGCGAATCTCTCTGTCGTTTCGCTTTGCTCCTTCGTTCGGCTTCACTTTCATTTGGCAAATTTGGCTCCGTCGGAGGAGTCGGTAGTGATCCCCTAAACGATCGTACTGATAAAATAACATCTTTTCATAAAAACCGCCAGCTCTAAGAGAGTATCAAAATTGTTGCAGGGCATCTGACAACAGAACAAGATTTTTTTCAATTCATTCCAATCCACCTAAGTCGCATTTTCAATTTAAAATAGAGGTAATTCCGGTCAGATAGTACAGCATCCATGGGATTAACCCAATCTCGAAGGCGCAAGCACCAAATGAACAACAGCGCTTTCAAGAAAATTCGGGCAAAAGTTCGAAAAAACCTGAACGGGAAACTGCTTGCGAGGGATTTTCGAAAATATTGAAAACCAATACTGTCTCAGCTATAGCTGTAGGTAGCGCAAAAAGAAACGAAATCACAAGAAACACAAAAAAGATGGCCGCCAAAAGACCTCAAAAATGAGGAAGTCGATAAAGTCCTTAGGCAGAATCTGTAGTTTGGCGAGAAGGCGAAAGGAAAGAGGTAGCCATACCGCACGCAAAAAAAAAAAGGAGGCACAAACGCCATGCAGCAATTCTAGTACAGGTAACTAAGTAGTATAGCCAGATTAAAGGCAATATTAAAATGTAGAGTTTTCGAGGTTATACTATGATGCGTTTTGTTAGGACAGCAACGAAACAAAGGAAGAAATCGCCTCCTTAAATATTTATAAACACATACATGGATTAGTGAAAAAAACATACATGATAAACCCACCCTGTCCTCACTTTCCCTCATCAAGTCTCCTGAACAAAAAAAGAATTTCACGCCAATGAAAAACCATTATTTAGTACATTTCTCCCTTCTTCTCCCCTTCCCCCCTATACACACAAACACACATACAAACACACACACACATACATACATACATACATACATACATACATACACACACACCATAATTTATGTATATGACTTAATGGACCGAAACATCTTATCTCACTTCCACCTTCTTTTCTCATACTGTTCTTTCATGCTGTAATCCACTGCACCTCCGCCATTTAAACTTCGAGGGTCAACCTAGTTGGTACAATCGCCTTAGCTATATTAGCACTTATATATCAAATGATAATCCAGAATTTAGTAAAAAAATACCCATCAATTTTTTCTTCCCCTCTACATCCTCCTTCCTTAAAACGAGCGGTTAGATTATAGAAAAAATGCTGGGTTCATTCAAGCAGAAAGTAATGAAAACGACGAAAAGCGAACTTAAAAGAAAAGAACGGGAGGCACCTTGACAAAGATGACATGGTAGTATTTTGTAACGTAGGAGCATTCGAAACCGACTGGCTTCTATTCACTGTACTGGCCTGTCGTACGGCAGCTTGAAAGTGCGCAAATGCCGGATGTAGTGGACCTTTGATTGCCGAACTACGGTACAGCGGCATCCACGGCAGAGGCGTTGATGTTGAGCGCTGTATGCAACCGCTAAATAAACCATTCACAGTTGGAAAAAGAAACAAAATTATATTAAAAAAAATAAAAAGTATAATGATTAGCAAAAACAACAAAAATAACATGTATGTCCAATAATCAGCAGAAATATACTTCGTTCCGGTTTGAATGATTGGAAAGGAAGCTTCGGCGCCTGTCTGGATGGATGAGTTCTAGTGGCGACATAAGACTGACTGCGACTCGCAGCTGTCGTGAACGGAACCCATTCTCCGAAAATCGTTATGGCTCGATAGGGAATCGAACCACACCCCTTCACGTCCGGACGCAATGTTTTACCACTACACCACCGCCAGCCCCTGTGTTCCTGCTTCAGCCTGACAGCACATCTACTGTGTATCTGCTTTTCAAGACAAGGAACACCTTTCTTTTCTTCTCTTTTTCTTTGTGGTGGCTTCTGGACCGGCTTTTCGTGGGTTTCCGTGACAGCGGCATGCCCACGTCATTCGTCCATTCAGATGAACGGGCATATGTCAGTCCACATATATCCCAAACCAAAGATTCGTATATGTTTGCCCAGATGATCCAGCTCTGTGCACTGCTGTTCGATTTGGATTGTAAAAATTGATGCGCAGTTGCGTTTGCGTCGCATATCTTTCCGTCTTTCCAGCACATCACACAGTACGCCAATCTTCATTAGATTCTATGGTAGTCAGTGTTTACGGTAGTAGAAAAGGTAACGCGAAGGATGATGTCGTACGTAAATTCGGCCAGGCTAGCAAAAAATTTCACGGATATCAATTCACGAAAAGAAATAACATGCAAAAGCAACTGAGTAATTTTCAAACATACAATATCATCCGGCGATTATGAAATTTGACACATCCAGTACCTTAGACCGGACTGTACATATTTTAGTAAAGGGCGCAAAGCTTTTCTCACATTCAGTTACTTTTATCCTTCCGCTCATTGCCGATAAGCACTGGTTTATGAGTGTTAAAATCCGTGATAAGTTGGTAATGCTCAACATAGACAAAGACATCTCGAAATGGCTAAAACCTTTTCAGATGTTTTTGCTGGAAGAAATGCCGAAATGCTATTCTCTCCTGTGACTGAACAAATTATGGATATCTAGCAGGCTGACCACCACGAAATGCAGCCCTGCTAAAATAACTAACGAAAAATTGTCAGCTGCATAGATAAAGGATCATGTTTCTTGGACTCCAAATATTCTATTTACGGGCTACTTGGTCTCAGCAGCACACTTAAGATCAACTTGAAACAAATTTAACAATCTGTATAATCCAATTTTAGAATCCAAAGCTTGATATCGCAACATGCTGTAACTTCAAGTTCGAGAAATTCTCATTTCTCGACATCTGATGTTGACTGGAGGGGTGGATGGAGAGGAAACACGGGCTAGAGGCGGCACTTTCTCACAGTGCGTAATCGTCAAATTATAAC